ACAGATAGAACAGCACATAAAAAAAAAAAAAAAAAAAAAAAAAAAGAATTACCAGTAATTCTGCTTCTGGGTACACACCCCAAAGTGGGTCCTGAAGAGATACCTGCCCACCCGTGCTCAGGGCAGCATTATTCAACACAGCCAAGAGGGAATCAGCTGAACTGTCCACTGGTGGATGAATGGGGAAAGAAAACGTGGAGCATGCGTGCGATGGGGTATCACACAGCCTTAGAAATAGGAGGACATTCGCACACAGGCCAGGTATGACATAAACAGGCCTGCGGGGCATTCTGCTAAGTGAGAAAAAACAGTCGCAAAAGACAAATACTATACGATTCCACTTACATGAAGTGCCTAAGTAAAAATCACAGAGACCAAAGGTCGAAGGGTGGTTGTTGGGGGCTAAGGAGGGAGGAAGACACGGGGTGTAGCTGTTAATAGGTACAGGGTTCCGGCTTTACAAGATGGAAAAAATCTGGACATTGGTGGTCCAACAACGTGAATCACTTCACACTGCTGAGCACTGTGCTTAGAGACGGTTAAGATGGTACATGTCAGATGCTTTTATCACTATTTAAAAATTTTAAATGATACTAGAACACTAAGCTCTTTCACACTTTTCCTGATCTTGATAAACTACAGAACTTGGCTAGGTAGGTGAGAAAAGTGTAGAGAGGTGAGTTTTAAATATCTGCTTTTGAAAACCAACATGAAGTACACTTCACAAAGTCCAGGAGATCAAGACCATTCAACTCTAACGTCCCTGCCTTCTAAAAGCGCCCCGACGGCGTGTGAGCAAGGGCTTCTGCCAGGTCCACGACTCCCAGCAGCAAACACGTCTCCAGCAGTTCGAGCACGAGACTCACTGAATGGGGGGAAATGCGAACTCGCAACTGGCTGGACATTTCTCTCGCACCTGCTGGGAGCCTGGGATGAGGAACCTGGAAAAGACGAGGGCTGCACCGTGAAAGACACTGACGGTTCTTACATCACTGAAGTTTTATCTCCTCACCTTAGACTTGGGTATTTGGCAAAGTGATGAAGACAGTGCCCAAAGCTTTTTCTGTCATGCTTAGACAATGCTAGTGTCACTTTAAAGACAACCCAACCAAGTCATCTGATCAGTAATTTCTCATATATAAAAGTGGTTTCTACACGATCTCTATAGGCATCTATAAATTAGTAAGAGAAAACTACACTTGCACGTGTGTGTACATACTCCTGTACGTGGGTACACAGATTCACACGTGTCTGCTATATACACATGTTGTAAGTAGGTATTTTTAAACCCTTAAGAGTCCACAAAAACCTTTACTATGGTCCTGGAATAGACTGTATGCCAGACTGTATGACAGACAGCCCCCGGCCCCTGGTAACATTCTCCCTCCCTCTCACACGCACATACACACTCAGACACAGCCTCGCAAAGACTCTGACCTGCTCAGTTTCCGGCTTCCCTTCCCACGCCCCCTGCGCCCCACCACACGAGGTAGCGCGGCGTGAACCCTGCGGGCACTCACAGTCTCGGCATCACCGTAGAAAGCAGCCAGGTCCAGCGGGGTGCGGCCGTTCTTGTCTGTCTGGTCTATCGCAGCTCCTTCCTCAACCAGATACTGGACCACTGCTCTGTGACCTTTCAGACAAGCCCAGCTTAGGGCTGACAAGCCCTCTTTGTCCAGAGCAGAAAGGGCAGCACCTGGAAGGGGAGGCCATTCAGAGGATGTGGAGCTAAGACAGAGCCAGTAAGCAGGGGTTTCACGGCCACAGAACACCCAGTCCGAACATGCCAAGCAAGCTCTCTGAGAGCTGAAGTGACTGCTTGTCCTTGCTGAAGCTGAGGACAGGGCACCTGGGCGCACCACCCGTCCCTCTCCTCACACAACATTTCCATAACAGACTTGTGTGAATGTGAAGCACTGAACAGGTCTGGTAACACTCTTTGTCCATCCCAAAACCCATGTTTGGGTGACAGTGACAAGGACATGCTATTACCTTTTGAGAGGAGGAACTCCACAGTGTTCAAATGTCCTTCACAAGCAGCCACCATGAGGGGTGTCCGGCCCTGCTTGTCACTCAGGTTCACATCACAGCCGTGTTCCAACAGCAGCCTAACAATCTGAAAGATACACTCGGGATTACCACCTTCCTCCCCAGACCGGTTTCTCCACCTCACACACAGTCCGGTAGCTCTCTTCCTCGCAAAACTCCTACAAGTTGGGTGATTCATGAGGCCTAAACAAGACCTCTACGTGTTTCTTTGAAAGGAATCTTTTTCGAAATATACTCTCTTTAATGTGCCCAATTCCTGATGCACATATCAGGCAGAAGCAGTGATTTGGGGGAAGAATGATGCTAATCACAAGTAATGACAAGACAGCCACACAGGGACCATGGGGTAAAGCAGCAGAACTAAAAAGGCAAGCAGCGGCCCCTCGGCCCTGAGCTGCTGCTGGAGCTGAGTAAGTACCTGTGGCGGAAGATCTGGGCAGGGGAAGGGCACCCCCAACCCCCTGAGCAATGTGCTGCTCCTAAGACTCAAGGTTGGTGGGTGGCTTGACCTTCACAGAGTGCAACTTCTGGCAAAGCTTCCTGAAGGAGAGGCTCAGCTGTAAACCGTGCATGGTGGTTAAGGTTAGGGAGAAAGAAATCAACCAGGCATCTCCTATAGCCACCATCCCAGGGGGGCAGCTTATCCACAGTGAAGGCCAGAGTTTCTCCAGGTACTCGTTACCCCACCCCAGCAACAGAAAGTGGCCCGTTTGTGTTGCTTTCTTTCTCCCTAACAAATGTTTTCCAGGCTCCCCCATGACTCAGGGAACCCTGAGGCTAGAAGAGCAGCCAGGGCATGACATCAAAGCTGTGACAGTGACAGGAATTGCTGAGCAAACCCAGCTCCTAGAAACAGCAGGACAAAAACTTGGTGGGGAGCACTCAGCTCCTACGGATGGAGCTAGGAGGAAACTGGCAGAGATGCGATTCTACGATGTTAATTCTAGTCCAGAAAATTCTTCCTATAATGACCCACAGCCTGGTCTATGTGAGACATGCTGGCCAAGCATGCAAATGCCCAAGACTCAACGGGCTGGAGGACTGGAGAGAGGTTTGCCTGCAGAAGTTTGCCTCTCCCCCTCTCCCTGTCTCACACAGACATGCATGGACATGCTCTCTATCAGAAAAAGAAAGAAAAAAAATTTAAAAGGAAGAGGAAAATTCTCCCTGTAATCAGCAAGGTCAGTCTCATCTATGTGCGTAGTAGCTTGGGTGCTCCCTGGTGCCAGGCATGGGGTAGGGAAGTGGTCACTGTGAGCACGTGAAGGAGAGAGCCTCTGCTCTCAGGATCCCCTGTCCCCTTGACTTAAAGATGATGGCGCCTCATTCATAGTAAAGGAACCAGCCTAGGTCACAGCACTGGACTAGAGGGACGAGTCCTTTTCCAAAGAGTAAAACAGACCTGATGTTTTCAGAATGTGGACAGGTTACAAGTAACAATGACAACAGATACATCAGTTAGAGTAAATCTATTATGCCGGCCACTGGCACTGTCCAGCAAATTAGGGGAAGTGGCTGGGGGCTTGGCCTGGCCACCAGTGCTGCTCCAGCCTCCGTGCTGCCACAGCCTCCGTGCTGCTGCCTGGCCCTCCTGGCAGACGCTGGCCTCTGTCCAGCAGTCCTTAGGCACCAGCGGGAGCCAAGAATGGGAGGAAGGCAGACAGGGTCAGGGAGCAGCATGTGGTCTCAGGGGAGATGGCAAGAGTGAACCCCATCCCCACTCATCACTCCAGGGGCCCACTGCGTACCTGCCAATGTCCCTGGCGTGCTGCACAGAACAAGGGTGGGACGCCCCTCCTGTTCGTCCGGGACACAGCAGCTCCATGCTCCAGCAGCAGCTCGCACACCTCCAGCTTCCCTCTTCCCGCGGCGGCAGTCAGGGCTAATGGAGAGTCCGGGGGTACTCTGTTAGCAGGTGTAGACAGGATAACTGCAATCTTTGACATTCATCCCTCCCATTGAGAGGGGTGTTTCTGTATCTCTCCCTTTGAGTCTGGGTGGGTTCTGTGACAGTTTTGACCACCAGAACACAGCAGAATAATACCACGCCACTTTCCGGGCCCAGGTCCTAAGATGTGGGCTACTTCCACTTCCTTGGAACACTCACTCGTGGAGCCCTGATGCCATGTTGTGAGGAAGCACAAGCAGCCCTGTGATGAGACCCTCTGGAGAGAAGACCCGAGGCCTGCACAGGGCTGACAGTCCCAGATGAGCTTGTGGCAAACGGCCCACACCCACTTGCCAACCATATGCATCCTGGGACTGGGTCCCTGGCCTGAGTCAGTGACCTCAGCTCCAACCCTGTGAGCAGAGGGGAACCAGTCCTGCTATGCCTGTGTGAACTGTAGGTTCAGAAGCTACAAGCTTTCGCTTTTGTTTTTCATAGCAAGAAACTGCCAGAATAAACTGTGACACAAACACAGAGATTAGCAGCATTGCTCAGGCTGGCCTCTTACCCTTCAGTCAGACACTGCACTAGGCAAGAATAAGTACTGAGGCAGCTAAGAAGCAGCTAACCTTCCACCATTCCT